TTTTTTTTTTTTGTACTTATATGTATGCATTTGTAGAAAGAAGACAGTAAATGACTGTTGTCATAGACTTATAAGATTGAAACCGTATTTGGCGAGTTTCATTTTGCAATTTAAACTCGTGGAAAGCAGTGATAAAGACAATAATGACGTTTCCAGTAAATGCCGATGAAAATGATGATGACATTGAAAAAAGACGGGGTTAAGAGAGGACTGAGGTAAAAAGCGAAACTTAAGGAGAAGCTACAACCTTAGTGATAAAATAGATAAGCTATATTAAGCGCAGAACGATAAATGTTTTAAAAATAATGTCAAAAAAATGAAACAGTTTTGGACTCATAATGGAACAGAATGTTAGTTTTTTATCTGTATGATTCCTCTTTTTTTTTCTTCTTTTCTTCTCCTTTTGTTGCATTTTTCTGCTAAGCTTTTTTTGCTCTGTTTTTTTTTTCAAAAAAAATTTAGCTTTATAATGCCATTCTCCGTTACTAATTTTTTTCTCTTGGCACCACTGTTGAGTTTAGTTGAGGTTAAAACAAAAAAAAAATGTAAAAGCACAAAACTATTACTTTGTAGGAAGCCAGATAAAAGTAAAGTATTCTATTTTATTCATTTTTTCCTGCTTCATAATCGGCTTATGACACAGTGACCTTTACAGACACTAACGATCATCAAGTCGATCAAAAAACTGTATGCTGCGCTTTACACTAAGGCGAACACGCACAGACACAGACACAGACACAAACATAAGCAAATACTTTCTGAAATGCTGATGAAAATGGGCGAAATGGAAGAAGACACTGTTCACTTTCGTAGCGTCGTCTGATTAATGTTGAACATTGTACAGCAAAAAAAAAAAGTTAGACTGAGTTTATAAAATAAAATAGAATTAAATGTTGGTTTTTAAAGATATTTATAAGATATATTTATAAGATAAAAAAGAACTGGAAAAAAAAAAACGGAGAAAAAAAGGCAATTATGCAAAACTTACTTCGTCCCTCAATCGGTAATTGAGCGGAAACTTCGCTGAAGCGGTGATTGCGTCAGTCAACTATGGCTTTACGAAGTTTCAAATTTGGTCGTTAATGCAATCAACGATAATACACTGATGATGATATCAATGAGCTCATAGCAGCAAATTTTGAGTTGTAAGCCGATAATGGGGAAGACGTAAAAAAAAATTTTTCCGATTTTTTTCTTGCTTTTTCTTTTTTTTTCTTCTTTTTTTTCTTCTTTTTTCTTCTTATTCTTCTTCCTTTTCTTCTTACTCTTCTTCCTTTTATTCTTCTTCTTCTTCTTCTTCTTCTTCTAGTTCTTCTGCTTCTGTTTCCACAGCAAAATAGTGTCCCGCTTTACTTGATAACAGAACAAAAACTAAAACAAAAGGAAGAAAGAAAGTTATCGGTAAGGTATCGATAAACATTATTAGCGGCACAAAAAAACACTTTATACACTGTATTTGACTGTACAACTCGGCGTTTATGTGTTGGCGATATCACTTTTTTTACATCGATAAACAGGTAATTAATTGTCAATTTACTTTCTTTAATGTATAAAACCATACAATAGCATCAATAGCTGTACCCATCTACCCTCCTCCTTCCTCTAACTGTTCTTCTCATATACCCTTTACTTTTCTAATGCTTCCTTCTTTTTATCTCCTCACTTTTCAATTCTTTTACCTTCCGGTTTAGATACTGAAAAACACAATAGACGAACTGCTGAAATGTTATTAAAAATAATTTTTTTTTTTTTGGAAAAGAAGAAGTTGTCTGTGATGGGT